TGGAACTGAATTCCCAATAGGACATTTTCTGTTACGATGTAGGTTCTTGCAGGAGGCCTACATTCACACTTTGGTATAGGTCCAGGAAATGACATGTGTGTACAGTTGACATTTGTTGTGTGAGAATAAGTTATTATTTTGTCCTTTATATTCTCACTGAGAGAGAGAGAGAGAGAGAGAGAGAGAGAGAGAGAGAGAGAGAGAGAGAGAGAGAGAGAGAGAGAGAGAGAGAGAGAGAGAGAGATATAGATAGATAGATAGATAGATAGATAGATAGATAGATAGATAGATAGATAGATAGATATAAATAAATAATAATTACATTTGCCTCCGAGTCCTGCACGGACTGTATTTTAACATTGGTCATATGGTGGTACTTGGAGAGCCAACTATTTTCTCAGGTGGTACTTGGTGTAAAAAGGTTGAGAACCACTGGTTTAGACTAATGGGGTTTTTGAAGCAAATAAAGTAACCGTTTGGGGTTCACAGTTAATTGCAATCTGAAAAAGGATACATTTACAGCCAACACATATCATTTAATAACATTCATCATTCATGAACAAAAATGTTGTATTGATAAAAATGCATATTTGCCAAGTAAACTGTCTAATACTTTAAGAAATTATCTTATCTTATCTCTCTTTTCTCCTTTACTCCTGCTGCACAGTATGTGTTTCTTCTTGTGTCTTCCCTTGTGCTCAGGGACTCACATTTTACCAATCCCCAGCTGTGAGTCATAGATTTTTACAGATGAAATGTCTTTAATGCCGCCTTGAAATCTCAGGGAGAAACATTTCTCTCTCCTTAAAAACCCTAACCCTATAACCCAGGTTTCAGGAAGCACACATAGTCATTTGGTCACCGAATATTTTCTCTGGCACTCTCAAGTTCCCACTCTATTAATATGACCTCAGCAGCTCATTGCTTTTGCATCTCCCTGCATATGTCAATGGATTTTTGGTTGGTAAGGCAATGAGACCAGAATTAGAATGTGTGCCTAAGTAGTAAAATAAGGATTTCACATCAAATGTTACTCTTAACAATCTTCATATATACATATACAAACACACGTGCACATATATGTATCCGCGTATCCAAATGTTACGCACATTTAGAGAGGCATATACCACATATATCTTTTGAGATTCAAACATCTAGTTAAGGCTGCAAAATTATTTAATATTAACAATTGACTAAATGTACGATGGAAAATATGTCTCTCAAAGTGATGAGCATCCAGATGACTATCCCTTTACTTATGCAGAGCATGTTGGCCTTTTTTACTAATTGTTTTGGTTTTTGGCAACTAAACTTTGTTTTTACTTTACTCTAATCAACCTATGCCGCAGGCAGCCGTTTTGTAGCACAACAAATACTCTAATGAACTCAATTTAGATTACCAGCTGCAACACCATTTGGCAAACGGACACAAGGAGCATTTAACAGCTAAAGAACTAGATATCTCCCTCAGTTAGGTGAGACCAATGTAAGAGCTATAAAAAGAGTTACCGGTAATACTGGACAAGGTGAGTGGCCAGAAGCACTGCTCTAAAATAAATACAAATGCTGCCTTATATTTGCTGTACTTTGTATGTAAATAGGCAACAGTTTGCCACATTAACTTAAAAGCTGGTATTTTATTTTTCACAGCTTCTTCTACTGGCCCCGGTGGCCAAACATTAAAACAAATGAAATGTAAATTACATTTATGGATTTAAAAATTATAGTGAATTTCCACATTTCCCCTTTTTGGCATTCCATGTCTGGCAACAGTGTCCAAATGTGAAAGACATCATTGGTATTATAATAAGGAGAGCAGCAACTCATTATCTAACGTGTGACATTTAACTATAATCATCAAAGAGAAGCTTCATGAGCCCAATATGAATGTTTACAAATGCTCTTCAAGGGCATTCGATACATAGCATTTGCAGTTCAGAAAATGATCAGTTAGGAGATTTGTATTCTTCATTTGTCGCAGTTTTTGACAACTGGATATTTTTCTTAACTCTTGGATTTTGTGATGCACCTGATTCATCCAATTCAGAACATGCTACATTTTGTCACTGCGTTGCATCTTATGGGAGCTGAGGGGGAATGGAGAAGCATTTAGTTGGGAATGACAGACGCATAAATGCACACAAAATGAAATCTCTGTCAACCACGCTCCATCAGGGGTGTACTGGCTAACTGGGAACAGACACATTCAGAAATGCTCCATCCTTTATGCTTGCCTTGAGCTTGTCAGATTACATTCACAGATATAAACATCACTTTTCTGTAGCATTGACATTGGAATTCACAAATCTATATATCTTTAGAGCATTGTTCTCTGTTGTACGTTCAGTTCAAGTAACGAGATATTGGTGAGCAATGATTTCAATGGAGATACTGTCCCTGATAGACATTTGTGTTGGAATAACGAGGCCCCCAAGGACCACTTAAAGAGCTCTAAGTGGACATTAATGATTGACTGATACTTAAAACTGTCGTTTCAAGTAGAAGAATACCAATGATAGTCAGAAATCAGTGTCAGTATAAAGCTTGTGGGATCCACATCTTGACATTTAACATCTAAGTCAATGGCTGCTCAAGGACAAGTTTAAAGATGAGATTTTTGGCGAATGGTCTTTTATGACTCACAGCATGTGAGTATTTTAACAAGCCTCTTGAGTCGAGTGTTGTTTCTCTGCCAGATATCACTCACATTTATTTTATATCTATGTCATCCACACAGAACAGATGACTGGACTGGCTCAATATTACATTCAAGGATCTTATTTTCGTATAAAACACAACAGTAACGAGGTCAGATGTTGTTGCTACTTTTTATTTTATTTTTTATTAGTGGTGTTATTCAGTTAACCATGTCTGCTCCTTTACACTGTAAATAACTTGTACTTGGAGAGATGCAGTCCTCCTGAATTATTAAACCTATAGTCCTTGAGAGCTAGACAAAATGATGAAAAAGGCTAGCATTATTCTTATTTAAGAGGGGGAAATTTTTTACAATACCTGTAAAGTTATAGTGAACTGAAATTGTTTATTATTCTGCACCAAGATTAATATCCCTGTCTATTTTACTATGGAAAACTATAATATGAAGCTCTAATAAGCATACCTAAGAACCGTACCAGGCAGGATAGTAGGATATATAAGTTGCAGTAAGTTTCATTGAGTTGAGCAGAGACCTATCCCCGCTTATACTGTATATCTCGAACAGCTTTAGGCAGAAGAAGAGCATGTTGTCAGTGAGATTGAAGCAAGGCTGAGGATGGGAGAAAGTGATATCAGGGGAGGGAATGGACTGTTGACAGCAATCTCACTGTAATCCATCAGTCCCCAAATCATGTCGCAAGTAGCAAAAATGTTGCTCCCACAGCACACGCCACCACGCTCATAAATATTCATCCTAGAAACTCATTTCTGTTAATATACAAATAGTTTAAATGAACATGTTTATGACTGATATTTCAATTTCCAGTTCCAAAATAGGACTTTTTGTGTGTTGACAGATTGCTAATGGTTGCATTTTCCTCTCGCTTCTTTTTCCATTTCAGTTGTGCTGCTGGATACGACGTCTGTTCTTGGAGAGCTGGGATGGAAGACGTATCCTATCAACGGGGTAAGGAGGCCATCTCTTGCACTACTTATTGGACCTTGTTGAAAACACATGACTATTTCTGCATCAATTAAATCAATTATATTGATTTGAACAGGTCCAAATGGGTAGCAGTGACCTGTTTCGTATTCACATCACTGGTTTTATTCAGACCCTTCAGTCCACTTGGGAAATACTGACAGATAATGAGCCATGGTCTCTAAGGAAGCTTCCCTTATGCTGTTCAAACTTCCCCCATCAATTATTTGTGTCCCTTTTTAGGTCCAGTGAAATATTTGACTGACTCTTTAAATGTTCACTAAAGGAACAGCCAATGCTCACAAAGCTAACTTCCACTGCCTACTGCAAAAACCTAGTGTTCAATTCTTTAGTTTAAATGTGTTTGCCTCTCAGATACTGGAGAAACAATGAATACATGTCTTGTACCAAATGCAGTCTTGTGGTCCGTCAACTTCACAAAAGGGTAATCCCATTTTGTTCTCGCAGAAAGTGCCTACGGCTCCCCTCAGTAACTTGTCTAGCTGAAAATCTAAACTTTGGAAATTGCAGCGGGTGCCAAACTGAAGGTATCATGATAATGAACTGTAGTTGTTCCGACAACAAACTGTAACATCCTCAGATCAAAAACTTCATGCTGCATCAATACCCATCCCTCTCTGAGCTGTCAGGGTAATTGACGGAGATGAAAACGTATTACAGAATGGTGGCATAGGCTATCCTCTGACAACTCGGTCCTAGTTTTTCTTCTTATGTTCTCAGTATAAAAAAGGTGACCAAACCATGGTTAATGTTCAACAAAATGCCTCCCTAAACCTTCTTTTATGCAGTGGCTCTGAAAATGACAAGTGATTTATTTAATGAAGTTGTGCCCTAAAATGTAGATCATATCTCTTCAGTTGTGAATGTTTCATGATGTAATAGAGATGCTTTTATTCAATTTATTTTAAATGATATAGTTGATTGCTGCCAATACAGCCATGCTTGCAGTGCATTCGAGGGTGTAGAATCTCCCAAATGTCTTATTTGTATGATACATTTTATCCGTCTTTAGGTTTACAAAATGGGGCTGAGATGTGGTAGGTAGGTATTCACAGAATCTCCACGATTTATATCACCCATATAAAAATGCAATACCTGTCAAAAGAGAAACAAATGTGGTGAGGTGACTACAGGCAGACTGAATAGGGGAAAGTAGCAACACTGGAGATCTGGCAATATTTCTTACTTTTGCTGAGGTTGTATTTGAGAGATCAGGCAGTAAAAACAACTTTTTTAGCCTTTTCATGTTTTTTGCAGCGCTATAGTGTCCTTCACTATCCTTACGACTCCACTCCCTCTCTGAGTTTTGACTTAAAAGGATCCTCTGCTGGTAGATCCCAAAGGTCCCCCCAGCTCTTTTCTGTCCCTCTATATCTCCCTGCCAGGCCCTTGGTGGCCTATATCAGGGTTATGAAGGTGATTACATCATGTAGGTCGTGGCGACAGCCGCCTACAGCGTTAAGGGAGAGTAGAGAAGGAAGCTGCCTCTACCATGATTAAGCTGTCAGCCCTCCACCATCCTCACTTGTCCACTATCCTCCGATTTTACCATTAATATTTAAGGCTTGGAGGGCAGAGGGCCTGAGGGAAGGTGTGAATATCTGGGGAGGTAAAATAGTTAAAATCCCTTTACTACCAGGAAGCTAGCAAGAGGAAGTCAATCCCCACCATATTAGACACAGCCCGGTATCAGGCCGATACAGCAGCACGACGTGTAGCTGCCTATCGGAGTCACACACTGCTTCTAGTTCCGGATATAAACTGCTGTCCGTCAGTCCTGCCCAATGCACATCTTTAAATAATGTAATATGTAGTAACTTTTCCAGCATGATTACGTGATGATGAGTTTGCCAGGAATATAGCTGTCGTATGATATGAATTTGAAGGTGAAGTGGAAATTGGGGTGTATATTTATGGCTGATTTTTTTATCAAATGCCATTAAACAGTGCTTGTAAAGAGAGGAAGGCGAGTGGTTTTGTTGAAGAGGAAGGTTAACCAGAAGTACACAGTGGTGGTCTGCCAGCTTCTCATCATATGACACTATGGGGTTCTGCATATACCCAATAACAACAATGTTGAAGTGTCCTTGAGTAAGGCAAAGAAGCCCTATACTCTAGCTGTGCATTTACTGCGGGAAATTATGGGTAAGAGCACCAGCCATATTTCCAAAATGTAAAATCTATTGTTAAGACTTGCAGTACAATGTGTGCAGCCCAAATGAGCAATTAGCTACAGAAGCCTTGTACCCATAAATGTACAGACAACAAAACACTATATTTATTTTTATCATAACAATATTGTGGTGCTTTAATTTCAGTGGAATGAACATTTTGGATTTCATTTATGAAACAAATGATTGAAATTCTGCTGCAGAAACTGGATCTTGTAAGAAAAAGCTTAAAACACTTTCTAGCCTTGCAAATTCCACATACTAGACACATATATATGCTAAATCTGTGCTTGTCTTTTCCTACTTATGCTCATCTTTTCGGCTTTTGAAAGACATTGTGGAGATGGTAAAAGTTATAGGTTCATAAATGTTGTATGTGACGGGACTACGGATGGAAATTAGCTCAAAGCTAAAATCCGGCTCATTTACATTTCAAAGCATTATTCTGTTTAAAATGTTCATTAATGTGCATTGTCCCGGTTCAAATAAACTATTAAATAAAAATAAATAAATAAAAATAAAGGTAAGATGTAGATGTTTCAGGTAGTGAACAAGTTCATTCTTAGTGCAGGACTTTGATTTTCTAGCTATGGGCTCATAAACTGGGAATAGTTGTCATTAGTAAGAATTACAGGAAAAGGTTGAGACCCCATTTACACGCAAACGAAATGCAAAGGAACCGAATACGATATCAAAAAAGTATTCCGTTCACACGAGACCGCTGGACACGCTGTAGTACATATGCCGGGCCTGTAAGTGGCGCTGTACGTTCGCCACAAAATACACCAAAAGCAGCGAAGAAGAACCCCGAGCATGGTTGCCATGGTTGCCCTTCTGTTTATGCCCTGCAGTGGATTTAGAAACATGTAGTTCATGTAATTCTCCATGTCCACTTGTTGCTGATGGTTGTGGTAGAGGAGCTGTAGATGTTGCACTAACATCTGTAGCATGGTCAGTAGCAGTAGCTACTGACAGCAGCTACAGCAGTGAGCAGCAGAGGTGGGGAGAGGCGGGGCTATGGCTTCATCGTTATCAGGAAATGATCGTATAGGGCGTACACACGGAGCCGTTTGGCCCCCCAGAGCGTTCCGTTTGCAGATCTATCCACCTTGGGACCCGTTATCGTTTGCGGGGTCCGTTTCCGCTTTTCCGTTACGGCCTCGTGTGAACGAACGGGCTATACGAAAGAGAAAAGTAGCGGATACAACCGTTTGCGTTCTCGTGTAAACAGAGCATGAGAAACTTCAATCAATTACTTAATTGTGCTTGTTCTCCCCAACCACTAGAATGCATTTGCATGTAGGTCCACATCACAGACATGTCTGCTCACTGGAAAGCTGCAAACAAATGTTTACACACTGTAAACACGATATACGTCCAGCCCTCAGTGCAAGGTGCCCTTTGATTATGTTATACCTGCTGTGCTCGGAAAGTAAATAGACCTGTTTCAATTGGCCCACAAGGGGAACAAGGAGGACTGTTGTTATGTTTGTTAATGACTTTACTGAATGTGGGAATATCCTTAGAGTTAGAAAAACACATTTTCCCTCAAAGGTTTTACTCATTAGATTTGTGCATATTGAACAGCAATTGATCCATACCGTGTCTTTCAAGGACTTTGACTCAGCAAAACTTTTCCTCAAAAAGAAGTTAATAATTGTACTTGAGAACGCCAAAGGCAAGCTGATACTGATGTTGATGTTGTTTTCATGAGGCAAAGATGTGTGTCTCTACTACTCTAATGCTTTTCCTCCTGAAATGCTGAATTGTGATTACGAACCGGGCATCGGAGTGGTGAAGGACAGAGAGACAGGAGAGAGGAGAAGGAAAAGAGGGTTCATTTGGCGTCTGAAAGCAGCCACAATAAGCTCCACTCAGAACAGGCAGACAAACTGCTGAAATATGCATGAGTCATTTTCCTGTCATTGGGGGGAGCAGAGAATAGAGAGGAGCACTTTATTTATTAAATTACATGAAACAGCTTTAAGGGATTACACATGCCTCATGTTGCCTTTTTTGTTTTCACTCATTGACATCATAATGCCAACCGAGCATAGGCCAGTTGGACGACAAAGACTGATCTTTGTTCATCATACAGAGGGAATAATTATATTTTTGATCAATTTCAGAGATCCCAAGCAGCTGATAAGTCAGATCCACCGGGGGCGTATAAACACAGCGTTATGTAAGGAGCAGCGCACAGCGCTGGCTGCCCGAACACAGCTCAGTCAAATATTAGGCTGTGCAACCCTGATGCCTCACTAGTGCTCAGCTCAGAGCGAGACATTTGTGTGTATGTGTCTGTCTCTGTGTGTTTCAGTCTGTGTGTATGTGTCTGTGTGTTTTGTCGTTTTTCTTTGTTATTATAAGGTCATTTTAAGTGCATTTATACATTTGTCCTCTACATCAGTTGCTGCTGATATGCAGGCCTCTTTGCTAAACTTGGATGATCTGCCCATTTCCTTTGAAGGTCCTCTGAGTGTCTTATCCTCATGAGATGATCTTGTTGATGTATGGTTGCCCATAAAGCAGGTATTACATTAAGATAGAAACCTGTCGGTAATTGTAAGCAAAATTACACAGTAAGAGATGATTGATTCCATTAAAAAAAAGAACGTTAATTGTTTGTTTTTTGTAACTAAAGTGGTAAAGGCTATATAATCCTACTTGAAGTGGTAAGTATATCAGGTTGAAAGTGATTTAAAAGGTTTCTAATTGTAACAGCTAGCTATAATGTTGTATGTTACATACAATGTAATCCCCATTGTTAGAGTAGAAAGCTGTAACGGTAAA